AAAAAAGTAAAAAAAAAAATAAAGAAAAAATTGGAGATTATAGATAGATAAATTAGATAAATTAGTCAAATACAAGTTTTTTTTAAATCTTCTTTAGTTGAATTTAATTTAAATAAAAAGTAAAAAACCTCTTAAAATTTGAATAATAATTATTTATTAAAAATTTTTAAACAACCAAAACAATTCTTATCTTTAATACAAAATAAAGTATTGATTAATTTTAATATTAAAATCAATATTGCTAATAATAATTAATAGATTATAAAAGATTTTATATCACATCTATTTTAAAAATAATATAATGTAATTAATGTAATTGCTTATATTGTTAATAAAAATATTGTTCTATAAAAATCAACAATGGTCTGAATTATAATATTAAATAAATATAGATTATTCTTCTATATAATTTAAATTGAGAAAACAGAAATTTTTTATAATAAAAATGCCATTTATCACAAATTTAAATTATGTTTTATAAACAAATACATTTTTATAATTCTAATGATTAATTAATTAATTAATTAATTTTTTTTTTTTTATCATTTTTACTATTATCTAATTTATCGTTATCATTTTCATAATCCATTTCATAAATTAAACTCAATTTTGCTTGATGACTTTGTTGATAATAATCTGATTCAAAATTGTCTTTCCTTTTGAAAGGATTATTAGGACGAACTTGAAGATTTTGCGTAATTAAACTTTCCAAAATATGTTGATAATCTGAATAACTAGGTTCGTCTTTCTCATATTCATTTCTTTTTAACACAGCTTCATTGCCATCAACTAATGTCCATTGTCCATTTTCATCCATAAAATAAATTTGAATTGGATGTCCTTTAGCATTATTATTTTCTTCTTCAATTGATCCTTCATCTTTATGTATTTCAACTCGCTTCTTTAAACTATCAGCAACCTTTGCGACAATATTTTTCAATTTATCATTTTTAATTTCTTGTCTCGTTCTTTCATTTTCTGAACCTGAAGGATCATTTAATTCGTCATCATTACGTTCTTTTTCTTTGCTATTAAGATTGATTACCCCGAATTTTTTTTTTTTTTTTTAAAAAAAAAGAGTTAATTATGTATAAATAGATTGTATGTATTAAACTCTAAATTATTATTCACCATATTATTTAGCAGAATTAGACAGGACACTATACCTCATCACCCCTTCATTTTCTCCACTCTCTAAACTTTTTCGTTCTTTATCCATATATTGATCAAATCTTTCATCTGAAACGACCCTTCTACATTCAATATGATTAACTTTATTTAAATTTTTGCTAAGGAATGCAGGATCATTACATAATCTTGGTGTGTGTATAACTACAAGATAATAACATGTAGACATTTCTGTAACTACTGAAATACCATCTTTGGACTGTGGATTGCAATGAAACTAAATTCATTTTTAAATTAAAAAAGAAAGTTGATACATCGAATTCAACGTCAAAATTTAAATATATTACAAAATATAAACCTTACCTGAATTTCAACTTTACGAGGTTTACCCGTCAAATCGCATTTTGTTCCGTCACTCCACCTTTGCACCAAATATTTTTTACCACCACCGGCTTGTAAATCTGTACCTAGTTGTTGTTGAGAATTCTTTGAGCCCTCCTTATCCTTGTAAGAAGATGGTAAAGTTGCATGACGAGGATCATATCTTCCTAAGTAAAATGAAGCTACTGATCTATCTTCAATAGGTTTCATGTTAGGCCGAATGATTTGATGAAATTGTTTAACGTGACTAAATTTTTTTAAAAAAAAAAATTCTTGTAAATCAAATAAACATGGATATCTAGCAATTTTCATTTTTCTTTTCTTTTTTTACCTTAGATGACAATATTCATAAGTCCACCATCCTTGATTCTAAATAATTCAATTAGAAATTCCAAATTGTAATAATCAAACCATTTTGACAAAAAATAATTCGCAAAAACTCACATAATAAAGACAATTATTTTGTAATGGTTCCAATAATGCTAAACCTTTTCTCATAAGGTCAACATCTTCTCTATTCTCTTCAGGATTTTCTTCATCCGAAGTTTGATTAGCAATATAAGGTATTTGACAAACATACGGCTGTCTAGTCGCTGTACGCATTATAACTGAAATATATTTTGAATCCTCATTATCTTCTGAACTTGACTGTGATAATGTAGGAACCTTACTGGATTCCTATGAAGATTTATGAATTGTTATTATTTATTTAACAACGAATCTCATTTAAACCTATAAACCTACCGTCTGTACATCGTCGAACGCAAACTTTTCTAAACTACTATTTTGAATTAATTGATTTTCATAAATAAATACTTTATACTGTGGATGTGCTAATAGATCTTCGTGAACCCATGAAATTGAAAAGGCTTTTGTGACATGCACTGTTGTAAAACATAAAAATACGAAAACCGAACTTATAATAATGAAAGGAAGTGAAAAATGTTTCCATACAACTATTGAATATAACATTGCAACTATTGAGTTAAGAGAGACAAGGTTATAAGTTTTTGGTACGTGGCAAACTTATGTAATATAACAGGATTAGTCGATCCATGATTGGTTCCTTGAATTGCTAGCTAGTAGTTTGAGTCCGGACATAAAAAAAAAAAAAAAAAAAATTTTTTTGAGTTTCCCGCTTCGTTCCGATTCTTTATATTTTTAATTTTAAATGAATTTAAATTTTATAATAAACAAAAAAATGTATTAAAAAGGTATTCTGGATTTTTCATATTTATAAAAAAAATTGATTATTTAACAAAATGCAAACGCGTGGATAAGGACACGTGATTATTTGTGAGAAAAGTTTCGTTATAGCAACACATTGACAAAATTATAACATAATTTACTAATAATGAAAAGTATGGTCATCGGCAAATACGCGAAATTATCAGAGATAAACGTGTTTTTCTTTATATAATGACAATAACGGAATATAATATCAATTATAATTAAGATTGATTATTAAGTTCTTTTACCATTCTTTTACTGGATCAGCGAAAGAATCGGGTAAATGCATTTTTAATTAAGAACTCATCTATATTATAAACCTAAAGAATTTTTTATTAAAAATTTTTACACATTTCATATGAAAGGATACGTTAAAAATAAACTAAACTAAGTAAAGAGGTTATTTAATTTTCTTGGCAACATGAATTTTTTTTAACATCCATATCATTTGAAAGAATTGCATTTGTCTTACTACAGGTGCAAAAATTCTCAATCAAGTCCACAATTTCTTCATTTACCTTTTCCACCTCACGTTTTAATTCTGAAGACATATTAGTACGACCACGATATTGTTCCAATTCAATTACTAATTCTGGAGACAAAATCGTGAATAATTTGGTGGGAAATGAAAGCAGGAAAAGGGTAACGAAAGCTGTCTGATTTTCGTTAAGTTGTGTTGGAGATGACGATTGTTTCTTAAATACAGATTCAACAACTGGATATAAAGGCGACATGATAATATCGTTGACTAAATAGCTAAGGTAATATTCACCAGATTCCGGTTTCCCTTCAAAACTGGTAGACTTATCAACATCACGTTGCATAGCATTTTGTAATGACCTTATAAACGGATCGTTGAAAACCACCTTTATCACCTCCTCTAAAGTTTTTGGTCTTTCAGTGATTAAGCGATCAGGAATATCTTTACAAAAAGTTTTCCCAAGGGTAGTCCAATTTACTACCGTATTAAATCCTTCTTGAGACAATTTACAAAGGGAAATGGCCTTTTGAGATGTATATGAAGAAAGAAGGAAATAACCTCGTGAAAGATTAGTTTCTTTATCCAATGGAAGCATAGCTTCATATATTAAATCAACCGAAGAAAAGTATGATGGATATTTGAATCTGATACATAATAAAAAAGGGGGAGAGAGAGAGGAATAGTCTCGAAGTGATACTTTCATAATATAAGTAAATAAATAAAATTATTTATGTTTTACCTGGCGGTATCCAATATAAGAACCATATTTTTGTCAGGATTATATCCCCCAACAGGTGAAAAATGACCGTCACCAGTTTGTTGCATGGTTTCTCGCGAAAAAGAAATTACCATAAAAATATCAGAACGAGAACAAACAGTTTTTAAATCATAAATAAATTCTTCTTTTGTCACTTTATTACCACGTTTAACAACAGTGTCGCAATGACATCTTGCTAAACATGCAAATTGATCAAAAGTAATTCCGGATTTTTTTACTTCTTCGATTTTCGCACAACAGTTTAAAAGTTCATCTGACCACCATCGCCATGGTCCTTTCCAGACAGGAGCACCTGTAACTTGTAAAGCATTAAGAACTATTGATAAAGAACTTAAACCACAGTAAGCTGGTTCCATTTGATGTGAGAAACAACTAGACAAGTTAAAGTAACCCTCGGCATAACCTTCGTTAAGTGCTTGTTTAAAGAGTTCTTTGCCAGGAGGTGAAGCGAAATTTATCAAATGATCAGGTAGTTTTCGTCCTTGAAAAGTTACCTGAGGAGTAAGTGGTTGCTGTTCTTCCTTTGAAGTTGGTATTGAAGACATAGATAAAAATTCGCGTGAATTTTGAGAAGTTATTGAAACGAGTGAAGATGAAAGTTTTCTACTTTTAGATACATAATTACGAGAAAAAGACCTAACAGAAGTCATAAATACAACAGATGAAAAAATAGATTGAGATCGTACAAGAGAGGTAATTTGCTTTGAAAACATTTTATTTGTATTAACAAGCCCGGATACATGTAGAATGAGCAAAGCGCTTCGTTCGAAGGTTTCCGAAAGAAATCTTTTCTAAGAGATTGTGGATTTCAAAAACGGGATTACATCAAAAATTCTGACCAATAAAAAATTGGTGTATCCGATCTAATCAAAACTTCAAATCTACAATAGATTAGAGCCCACGGTTTCGTGTAATGCATTTTAATATTACCAAAATCTATCATCTAAAATTCTTTTATAATTAGAAAAACGTCAACTTCTGAAATAGGTAACCATATATAAACTAATAAATTTGAAAGAATTCTTTTTTTTTTTTTTTGCCAATATTGATTTAAATTCAAATTACCTTTCTCAAAAATTTATAATAAATTGCCCATTTAGTTATAATAGAATTAGAAGGATTTTGAAATTCTGAAATTAGATTATAATTAGAAAATATATTTATTTTAAGATAATTAAATAAAACATTGATTTTGCATTAAATAATAGTAAAGCAGAATGAGGATTTATATGTTTTTCAAATTTTTTTCAATGCTATTTTAAAAGCTTCAGAAAAACTTGAAATAAGATATTCATAATTTTGATAATTCTGAGATAATAGTTATGATATTACTATACTGATTGATAGATTATTTATTCTATTTTGCAAAAATGCTCTTGTTTGTTCAATTCTTGAAGCAACAAAAAGAGCAATAGCCAAATTTCTCATTTTAAAAAATTCAAGATTTAATATTAATCTAAAAATATTAAAACTTTAATTTTATATTTTAGTAATAATAAAAATAATAATAATAAATATTTTAATATTTACTTTTACATTAACTAAAAATAAATTTAATTAAAATATTTATATAAAAACATTGATTTTGATTTTGAAAAATCTCTTTTAATTCTTTAATAGCATTAGAATTTTTTTTTACAGATCCTTTAATAAAAAATATAACCAAGAATTTTATCTAGTCTTTATAGGTAAAAGAAGTAAATTAATAAATAAATTTTATGTATTTTTTTCATCAAATAAACTTACATTTGTATTTATAAGAACAGATTTTGAAATCAAATGTTTTCTCTATCTTCTTTTTCTTACTGCTGAGTATATAAATAATATTTTAATATGTTTAACTATAATATCAAATAATTTAAAATATTCAAAATTCACCTAAGTTTTATTAATAAAATTATAAATATAAGTAAAATATGTATTAAAAGATAAGTGTAATATTAATAGAAATAAGATATTGATAAAAACTTTTTTTATATATGATACTTTATTACTAATAAAAAATATTAAATTGATAAAAAAAATTTTATAGGAATGAATAATATTAATTAAGAAACAGAAACTATTATTAAGTTCAGAATAATTTTAATTAAAAAATTTACACTGATATTTGTTTTATCTAAATTTTTGTACAATTACAAAGTTAATTAGCATTAACTCAATTACTGCGAAAAGGATAAAGAAATTGGTTGAGCTTTTAAGTAGTAGATATCAAGACATTTTGTATTACTTTACATAATATTATATAATTTTTTATTTTATTCTAAACTAATAAAAGCTTGTACAATTATTATATTATTAATAATTTTAAAAATGATATTTACTAATTTAATTTATTATAATAATTAAATAATATATTAAGAACACTTCTTTCATAACTATCTGTTGTTTCATCTATAATTACAAAAATTTTTTGATTAGTTAATTTATTTATTAATATAATTTTACAGATTTAAAATAACTAGAAAATATCTTTTATATAGATAATTTATATTAACAACAGTTTTATCTTTAATTTTTAATTTTTTAATATTAATATTTTAAAATAAAAAAAAATACAAATATAAAATATAGATAAAAATCTTTACTATTATTACAATATTTTGTAAAAAAAGGTTTAAGTTTATTAATTTTTTTAAATGAAATATTAGTTTTAGTAAATACTTTAATAAGATTAAATTTATTTTTTATTTTTTTAATTTAATTTAATAAATATTTAAAATAGTTATTTGTAAAGCTTTAGCATTCTCATTAACTTTATTTTTTTTTTAAATAAATTAGTGAGTTTATATGAATTTTAATAATAGACTTACGTTTATGATTAACTATATAATTATAAAATTTACTATACAATTTTTTATTTTCTAAATGAAAATGAATTTTAAAATGAGATTTTTATGATAATCTTTCTAATGCTAAAAACATTTTATAAAAAAAAAATATAGATAATCATAATAATCATTAAATTTTTATTTTTTTAAATAGTAAATATATATAAAAGTATATTAAAAATACAAAAAATAATAAAATTACCTTAAAAATAATGTATATGTTATATAAAATTATAGTATATAAATATAAAATTATACAAATGTACAAATTTGTAAGTTTTATAATAGATTATTATTATAAAATAGGTTATTTAATAGAAATTAAAAAACTAATAAATAAAAAAGAGAATGAAGGAAAATTTGAAGAAAAAAGATAATTAACAAATTAAGTAAACAAACATATAAAAAATTATTTCTACTTATTTTTTATTTATTAATATTAAATACTTCATTAATCTTATACTACTTTATTATATATAATTATTAAATAAATAATATGTATAAATACTTTAGTTTTATTCATATTATACTTCTGTTAATTTTTATAATTGTTATTTCCTTACAATCTCAAATTTTTTTATTAATAAAAGAATATATATGTAGTTAATAATTTTTTATAATACTAAGAGAACTGTTTTATTCAAGTTTAAAAACCTTTAAAGTAAAAAGACTAGTTTAATACAGATAACTAAAATTTATTAAAAGAATTATACTTAGATACTAATTATATATTAGTATTAAAAGAATATATAAAAATAAAAAATATTTTAATTTTTTTTTATATTTATAAACTGTAAATAAAGTAATAATAATTTGAATATATTATAGTTATATATAAGTAATAAAACCTCTTAATAATAATTGAATTTAGATAAAATTATATTTAAATCATAATATAGATATTTGATTAAAATATAATAAAAAATATGATAAAACTATTTTTGAGAAGATTTTGGCAAGCATTTATAATTATAAGAGAAGTTAGTAATTTCATAGATTGATTAAATATCAAATAAAAGTAAAATCCTAAAATAGCAATTTTAAATGTAATTAAATGTTATTATATAATCTTAAAAATTACTTTATAATCTTAATATTTAATTAAAATTAAGTTTTAATAGATTTGTTAATTTTATATTAATGAAAATTTATTTTAAAAGATAAAATACTAAAGAATATTTTGAACATTTTTAACTACTTAATTAATTATATATAGATTAAATATTTATTATATAATAAAACTTATGATAAAAATTAGTTAATTTTAAACCTATATAATATTGATTATTAAAGTTTTATTTGTATAATAATATTAATAATAATTTTAATATTATTATACAAATAAAATTTTAATGATCAATATTATAAAAAATAAGGATAATTACTTTTAAATCATTAAAGTGCTATAAATCTTCTATATAATTTATATTATTTATATTATCTATTTTTTTATTACATATATATTATTTATTTATTATATTAAAAAATGGTAATTATTCTAGTTTGAAGTATAATTCCAAATAAAATTTATAATAAAAATTATAATTTATCAATTTTATTGTATTTGATTTTTTTAGTATTTAATTTTTGAGAAATATATATGATATAATAACAGTAATATAGAATTCTATTAAATAATTAATATATAGAATAAAATAATATTATATTAATATATCTAGTATTTAATTATTTTTCACTTTGTTTCAGATAATTATATTTATTTTTTTTATTTTTTTAATAACTACAGTATATATATTTAATGTTATATAAATATAAATATAAAATTAACTATTTATAATTAATACTATTTCTAAATTAATTATAAAATTAATCTTTTACTTATTATTTGATAATATTATATTTATTTATTATTTATAAGTATAGTAAATACTTACTATGATAAAATATAGCTAATTATATAAAGAATTATAAATAAGAAATTTTTAAAATTATAAATATAGATTTAAAATAATATAATTAAAATTTTTAGATTTATTTAATAATAATATTTATAAATGCTAATTTTATTATAAATATTATAATTATATAAATTTATTTTAAAATAAATACTTACAATGTATTTAATAAATTTATTTAAAAATTTAAAAAATAAATTATATAAAAATTATAAACATTTATAAAATATTTTAATATTATAATAAATTAATAATAAAGCTTTAAAATTAATATATAAAACTAATTATTAATTATTTAATTACAAATTATTTTTTTATATACAGACTCTCGCTAAAAGTCTTCAGACGCCATCTTTCAGAGGCTTTTTCATATTGATTACATCATATGACTGTATAAAATTGTGGCTATATAATATTCTGAACATTGTTTGTTTGAATTAAACTAAATAAATATGTATTTGGTTTATTTATTTTGATTTTAGATCAAAATAAAATTTTATCTTTTAAACAATGAAAATGTTCAAAGAATTATCAATAGAATAACGCAGTAGCATAATTTTTACCATTAATGTAGCGATAGTTATTAAACTATTGCTGTGACTATCAGTTGTGAAAAGTCAACAGTTCTTGATACTTTAAAAAGAATGGATGATATTAGAACTATTAATATTATAAGGGTATAGAAATAAATTCTGATACAAACTATCAAAAATTTTGATTGATAGTATACCACAGCAAATTCAGGCTGTGATTAAAGCAAATAAAGATTGACCAGTACTAATTATTTAGTACTAGATGTATAGCATATTGTACTTTAATAAATATTTTAATAAATATTTTTTAATAAAATTTAAAAATTCCAAGTTTTATATTAAGCTAAAAAATGTTCAGAAACTTTTAGTGGGGTCTGTATTTATATAAAGTAAAAGATTTAGATTAAATATTTATAATTTTTTATTTTATAATAATAATATAATTAATAAATTTTATTAAAATATCAAAAAATTTAAAAATATAAAGATTATTTATATATAATATTTCATAAATTTAATAATAAAATTTAACTTATTTCAATATTAAAAAAATTCATAAAATAATATATGTAGATATTATTTTATATAATATTAATTTAAAGTAATAAATTAACTAATAAATAATAATAATAATATATATTATAATATAAATTGCATTGATAAATATTTGATTTATTTTAAAATTATATAATATATTTCTTAATAAAATTTATACATTATTTTAATTTAATTAAAATAAATATATAATATACTATATTTAATTATATATATTTTTTAATAAATAAAAATTATTAATATATATTTAAATTATATATTAATTTAAAATATATTTATAAATATTACTTTAAATTAATATTTATAATAATATCAATTATAATAATATAAATAGTAGAAATTTTATTACTATTAAATAAAATAAATCTATAAATTAATTTCTTATAAATTGAATCTTAATTATAATTAAAATATCAAAATAAGATTAAAAATAATCAATAATAATTAAAATTCAAATAATAATTTATAAAAATTTATAAAAATTATAATTAGAGATGTAAACTTAACGTTAATTAATATAATTATAACATAATGAATTAAATCATATATTATAACTAGTTATAATTCTGAGTTAAGCATAAGTTTGCATTTCTAATTATAATAAATAAAAAAGTTAAATTAGTTTTAAAATAAAAAGTTAATAATATTTAAAAAATATTAAAAAAATAAAATTAATTAATATTTTATATTAAAAATAATATTTTATTAACTAAAAAAATAAAAAATATATTTTTAATATTAATGTAATACAAAAAAAATAATATTGCAAATACAATTATAATTTATTAAAAAAATCATTTTATAAGTAATATATCTAATTTTTAATAATATTAAAATTAATATAAAATTATATCAAAAATTATAAAATAAGACTTATTAATAAAATTAGCTATCTTATAAAATCTTTGTAATAAAAAGATGAAAAATATCAGAAAAAATCAATTTTATTTTTTTATATACCAAATAAAATTTTTAGATTAAAATATGTTTAGATTTAACATTAACTCATTTTTTATTTTTTTGTCTTAACTATTATAATGATCCTATTATTGGTAAGAAATATATAATATTATATAGAGTAAATTTATTCATCGCGGAGTAATACTCCTTATACATCGCCTTTATATATATATCTCTCTTACCCTAACCCTAACCTAACTCTAAAACATGTGATGCTAATCAAGATGATAAATAGGGTTTCATATATGAAAACTTTTTTAAGTTCCCAGAATAATTAGTAAAAATAAATGGCAGAGGGGCGTAACACATTGTGATATATAGCAGGCGATGATATCGCATATGCGATATATAAATTTTCTCTATTATATAATATATCAAAATAATTTTTATTTGATTTTTTAAATTTAATAATTATATATTTATAAAAAACTTTAAATCTTACTCTTTTTAATATAAAATTAAACTTTTTTTTATATTAAGTAGATTTAAATGCTTATAATAAATTTTTTTTTAGATTTTTTATTCATATTTTCTAATCTTAAATAAGCTTTTTTTAAAAGTATATCAAATTTTTAATCCTTTAATAATATTAAGAAAACATTATAATATAATTTTTGAATGTAATTTTTAAATTAGTGATCGTCACTTGATTATTGACAAAAAAATGAAATAAAAAAAAAAAAAACAGCAGTAATGCTTCAATAATTGTGTCATGGACGATTCTAAAATCAATTATCTTTACAAAATTCTTCCTTCATCTCATGTTCTTCCACCACTTTCTTCTTCAGAAACACCAATTACATTAACCATTTTAGATAAGAAAGATGGGTTTATACATCTTTCAAATTCTATACAAGTTTTACAAACAGCAATTAAATTTTTTGGTAATGAAGATGAAATTCTAGTATTAAAAATACCTTATAAAAAAGGTATAAAAGAAAATATTAGGTGGGAATTTCCACCGGGAACTGTTCAAGAATATTTTCCTCATTTATATGGGGATTTATTAAGAAAATATGTTATAAATATTGTTAAAGTAAAGAACCTTAGACAAGATGATAATACTATTGAGGGATTCGAGTGGCCTGAAGGATGGTTAGAAATGTGAATAGCTTTAATTAATTTTATTATAATTTTCAATAAATTTCAATATACGAAAATATTTTCTGAAAAAATTTGTTTTTTAACATTAAATGTCCATCCCGATCCTTAATCAGATTGTAAATTACAAAACTAACGGAGAAATTTGTTTAATATATAATGATACAAGTATTTGAATAATATGAAGAAATAAATTTATGTAATTAACAAAACCTTCTCAGGTACTTCAAAAGATCTAATTTACAAATATAAAAATAGAATACAAATTAATTCAAACAATCAAAACAAATATAGGAAATTTTCAAATGAGCACACTTTCTTAGCAAAGATCATATTAAGAAAAATAATTAAAATCATCTTGTGTGATTTATTTAAATATAAGTGACTGTCTTCAAAGTTTGCCATAATTTAGCCAACCATTTATAAAATGCATCGTGTAGCTTTTTTTTGATATTTGATCTGGTAGAGAACACAAATAATATCATGATGAAAAACAAAAATCCAGGAGCAGACATCTTTGACATCATCCTTTGCAAGTACAACATCAAGTATTCCACTATACGATTGACAGTTGTAGATGATGTTGATACTATACGATTGACAGTTGATGGTCGATTGTCTACGATGTTTCTATTACTTGTCACTGTCGCCGTTGTTCTCGTTCCAGGATGTAAAGGGCGAGTGAAAAGTCCATTATTACAAGTCATCATATTTGATGATGGAGACGAAGATGATCCATATTTTTGATTATTTGTCAATACTTCCATCCCATTTGTGAAAATGTAATTTGTTCGAACGTTTAAAAAGCTATTACTATGGTTCCCATTGCCTTCTTCTTTTTTTAATTTGTCTTTTTTTGGTTTAGTATACTTAAGAGGTGTGGGTTTGTTTGTCCTTTCTTTTAATTTTAAAAGTGTTTGTTCATAAGCCTAATAATAAAGTTATTTAATAAATTAGTATTCTCATTTGTTTTTTATAAAAAAAAAAGAAAAATTTATATTAATAATAATCATCTTTAAAGAAATAACCGCTTACTTTCTTGCGGTCCATATTAATAATTTCATTATCAGCAAGGAATTTTGAAGCTAAATCCCAATCCTTTAACTTTGGTAATACTTGTAAAAGATATAATTCCACAATCTTTTCATAAGATTTTAAAATTGGATCATTAGTTACGTGTTTCGATGACATGTGTTCAAGATGCAATATTAATTCATCCGGAAGTGCGTTAAACCATTCTTCAATTATATTACGTCCATTTAGTGCGTCTCGTTGATTTAAGCAAAATAGGATACTAATATTAAATTTTAAATATTTAGACATTTATCAGGTATAAAATGGACTAGCCAAACACTTGAAAGAAATTAAAAAAATTTAAGAAATTGCACTTATATCATACGATGGCACATTACCATGATTATAACCTTCTTACCCACCATGCTACGACGACTTCACCAGGAACTTCACTGATTTCTTCGGCATATCCTTCATTTACAACTTTAAACCATACATCATTGATAACTTTCTCAGGTGATCGTTCTAACAGTCTCTTAATCTCGAGATTTTTTGTTACTATTGGTGACTTTTCTGCAAGTATAGCTGCAACTAAATTAATGTAAAGGTTCCAAATCTTAGTTTGTAAAATTTTTATTGAAGGTGAGGGATCTGGAAGATCCAGAAGTTTAGAGATTGCAGAGGAACATAGTAAATGTGAAGAATCATATTTTCTTAAAAGGAACGCATGCTTTGCTCTTTGATATAAGGTGGTAAGTGTTTGCAATTCTATAGTACTTGGAGGCGACATTAGATATTGTGCTATATTTGAAAAGTCAGCAAGAAAGATGGGATTCGGTTTATCTAACGTTTGGATTAGTATCACGTGATTAACGCGGTTACAAAAAATTGCAACTATTTTTGGAAATGATTATCTCATATTTAGTAAGTATTAAGATTTAATAAAATTAATTCAAAAGTTTTTACATTTAAGTTTATATTAAAATAGATAATTAATTATTAGGATTTTTATTATTAAAATTATAAAATTATTTAATAGTTTTATATTATATATAATTTTTTTATTATATTATTTAATTATTTCTTCAATAACTTTTCTTTATTTTAGCAGATTATTTCTCAAGTGAAGAAAAAGCAACTTCTGATCAAAAAAATGTTACATCAGTAAATTTAATAATGCGAAGTATTACGTAAACCCTACGCTTCGTAATCTTACGTAAGGTTACGAGCCCGT